GTGAGTGAGTGAGTGAGTGAGTGAGTGAGTGTGTGTGTGTGTGTGTGTGTGTGTGAGTGTGTGTGTGAGTGAGTGAGTGAGTGTGTGTGAGTGCAGGGTGTCCCGGGGTCTTAAAAAGTATTAAAAGTTGATGAATTAATTTAGAGAAAATTAAGGCCCTTAAAAAGTCTTAAATGTAATTTTCCAAGGTATTACATATTGTATCTCTTCATTATGTATATTTGTCGAATAGTGGGGTTCTGTGTAGGTTATTTATAGACGTCGTCTGTTACGGCACTCACTGACTGACTGCGCCGCTGCGTGATCGCGCGGGGTTTGTTGATCCCGCTCTCGCTGAATTTCTAAAACATTCTAATATTGTATATAATTTTTTGCGCATCAGGGAGCCGCTATCAATATGTGGGGTATTTAAATCGCTTTTGAATGAGCGCTCGCAGTCGCAGTTCACTTTCGCGCGTGCACTGTGTAAAGGAAGCACACCTTACGATAAAAGATATTTGTCAATGAGCTCGGCATCTGTTGAGGAGCAAATCCTCCAGCTCCTTACTTTTGACTAGTGGTCGACCGATATTGGTTTTTGACAGCCGATGCCGATATCTTGGAAAGCAGGGTGGCCGATATAATTTTATTTATTTTAATTAATATTTAAGAAATTTGAAATCATTTGAAAAATTATATCATATCAAGATTATGATAAAATTTGTTAATAATGGTGATAAGCTCTGGACATTTCTGCTCAATATGGATTAATCTAACATCCCATCACACAACAGACCAGTCAGTGCATGTCGCTAGTAAGTGCATGTTCTGTGTCTGCGTGGAGTAGCTTCGTCTGATACACAGACTCAAACACACGTGACTCGCGGTGTTTTCAGCGTCTGCGTCTCAATATATGAGGACATGAACACATGCTCTTCATCTCCAGAGCTGCTCTGAGTCACTTCACCAGCTTTATGCAGTTTAATTTGAGAAAAATACCGTCATTACACGCTGAAACTAAAACTAACTGAAAGACCTTCACGGCAAACCCTCAAAATAAAAGTCCGGTTTAACTGGAAATTATGTGACTGAATATATTACTACTGTACTACAATGCAATTCTCAAAGTAATAATAATATTATTTTTAAGGAATATCATACAACCAAGTTATTATTTATTATTATTAATATATACAGTTCTGTTGTGCAGCATCATGTCTGATAAAATAAATAAAAATGCAATGTTTTGTTGTAAATTGATTTTCATTTGATTACATTTTAAAAGATTGATTAAATTGTTAAAGTTGTATTAATTCATTTCACTTTCATAAATTTGTAGTGAATCATAAAACACGGAATCCATAAGAAATCAAATGGAACACACAGAATTAAGGGAAAAATCAAGTGCATCTTTGCATAAAATGCAAGATATATATATATATATATATGTGTGTATTGGAGTATATCAAACAAGTAGCCCTTGAGACTGTTTTATCCCTTCAGGAAGCCCTCATTCACAAAAAGGTTGGAGACCCCTGGTTTAAATGATATAAATGTGTACTTGCTGAATGCTGACGGCAAACAAGAAAGTATTATTTTATACTATTATACTTTTTCCAGTACTCGCCCGATACCGATACTTTTATTTCTGGTACTTGCCGATACCGAGTACCGATACCAATATTTTCATTGCATTTATACATTTTTTTTAATATTGGGTACAGAAACCAAAAGGGTATGTATAATGTTAGTTGGTTAACTTTATTTATCAAATAGATACAGTCAAACCCAAATTTATTCAGACACCTTCAACATTTCTCACATTATCACAGTTTATTCGCTATAGTTTAGAAAATAACAAGAACTAAGAGTTAAACTGTGTCAGAACAAATTCAGCTTGATAATGTTAGATAACTTTGATAGAAAGGTATATAATGAATTACAATCAACTAGTGTTGTCACGGTACCAACATTTCAGCATTCGGTACCAATACCAGTGAAAATCCACGGCTCTCGGGACCAAAGCAAAACACAAAAACATGCGAATTAAAAAATGTGACTATACTTTCATTTAATCCAAACTGTGGACATATTTAATTTTAAAGGGCTTTTGAAAAGCTAGAGTTATTCAGCCAAGAATAACAACTAAGTTGGCTAAAAATAAAAAGCCCAGAACTTCTGACTGATATGACACAAACAATGTTAACCATTTGTTCATTCTCTAACATGCATATTTTAGATTCACAATTCATTTAAAAGCCTCTGGTGTGTAAAAATAGTAAATATCATCATGTCCTCCTCACTCTATTTGTGGCGGCATATATATGCAAATTCATGCTCTGCCAGCAGGAGGCGCTTGTAGAGCGGCAGAGATAGCGGTTTCCCCGGTAACGCTGTAATCTAATCAGTGCTGCGCTCACAAACGCTGCTTTATCAGGCATTACAGGCAAGATGAAGTGAGACTGACATCCATCATTTTCTGAAGCCAGTCGTTTCCTTCAGAAGTACAGTGATATAAAAACCCCCTCACGAGCAGTGCTCATGTTTATTCAACCAAGTCAAAGCCTTTTGGAAAATATATTTGTGGTGGTGGGTTTTGATATTCTGGCGGGCCGCCACTAATAAATCAATGTATGGAAATGAAACTTACCTGCTTGAACTCTTTCAGTTGATCCGGGTGTCTGTCTTTAAAGTGTTTTGTTAGTTTGGTGTGTTTGCTCGTTTAGATGTCGTCAGGTCTCAGCGCTTTTATGAAGAGAGCGCATCGGCGCAGCTTTTGGATAGCGCATCAAGAACCGGGTTGACCGGGTACTCGGTACCACCGGTACTTACAAAAACCTGGTACCATAACGTTTTCTTTTTTTTTTAGTCCCGACTTGGTACCGAAGTACCGGGTCTTTTGACAACACTACAATCAACCAACAATTAGACAGCTGTTAGTATGACACACAACTATCAACCCTTAGCCTTAATGACAGCCTGTAGTCTCCTGGGCGTGCTGTCATCCAGCTTCATGCAAACCTCAACTGTTTTTCCCAGACTCGGTCTGAATAATCTTTAGTCCCAAATTTGTATCAGTTTTACTGGTAGTCCACTGTATGAAGAAATTTTGGGAATGATTTGTCACAGTTTACTTTATTTTGCTATCCTCACTTGCATAAATGAACTATAGTGTCCTGCACCAACTAGTAAAAAAATATCAAAAATGATATCTGGTCTCTGAATAATTTTTGGTTTCACTGTATATCCTTCTGTTATTTTAAGTACTGTAATCACGCGCTTTGCTGTAATAATGCAGGGAACCACTCGTTATAAATCTCCTAACTGTGATATTTTCAGACATAGAAGTCGCGTTTTTTCATCTGAACATGCTGCGATTTATATTCCAAAGCCACTCATATAATGCAGAAACACTCAAGTAAGCAAAACACGCGCAACGCGTGCACATAATTGCACTGATGCAGAATGAGAGGACAGTAGCACAGCCTAGCGCATTTCACACAGGCTGCTAGATTCACTTTCGCCAGAAAGTCGTGTATGCCTAAGGTTCAAAATAGATGATGTTTATAGTGAATGCCCCATGAATGGTCTTATTTTACAATTTAGTTTTAATCCAAATGATGCGTGTGCTGAGTGAGTGAACA